GATTTTGAAATTAGAAAACAATAAATTTGGATTTAAAACAATAATTGAAAATACTAAAGTATCGGAGATACCCTTTCAAATTCACACTATAATTATTAATGATCTAGTTTTCAAATTCAATTGACAATCAGCTGACGAGTGATCCCAATTGGAATATTTAACGATGATAATATGAAAACATCAAAAGTTATAATCGATGAATTATCTGAATAAATATAAAAATTTACTTGTAAATCACAAATATTTACCGTGCCTAAAGTTTACGATAAATCAAGCTTTTCAACAAGTAAATCTTATTTTATTACAAATAATAAATCAACTATTGTATGAGAAATTCTAATTAATTAATTCAAGTATGGAATAACCAGTTATTTAACTCGCAGGAAATCTCAAGTATTTGATGTACGTGACACAACAAATCAAAAAATTATATAGAGCAAAAGTTTTACTAAAAGACAAGAATTAAATTAATAGAATAAATCATGCATTAAAAAGAAAATTGAATCAATAATAAATATTGTGCTTCATCCCCTAGCCTTAGTTGGGCTTTTAGCAAACCATATAATTAAAATAAAAACTAGAAAAGAAAAAGATAGGAAGAGAATAATAATAATCTTTCAACATGTGAGAGTCTTTATTTATACTAAAATAAATCATAGGTTTAGGTAGAATATATAAGGTTGGATTAGGAAGAATTCTTTTTCAAAAAAAAGTCTTTTAAGGTTAAATCTCATGCATAAATCTTGGGGGGCATGGTTACAAAATTAGTCCAAATTTCGACCTTGAATTTCTCATATTTAAAGGCCAATTTACAAAATTTTCATGAAATACACTTTTGTAGCCCTTAAAATCTTCTTTGCAACGCCGCAAAAATCAGGTCAATCGGATATTAGAGTCATAGTTTATAACTAAAATATTAAAAGCATGTTAAATCATTATCTTCTATGATACTTTTCTAATCCAACTTGAAATGAGTTTTTTCTAATTTGGACTTTTGTAGGGATTAAATTGTCGTCTTATCTTCAAATCTTCTTATCTTAATCTTGACTTTTCAATCCTTATCAATTGTGATTTTTCCTCTAGTGATTGTTTCACTTGTTTTATCCATTATTACTTTAAATCAACTAATTTACTTGCAAAATAAACCAAACAACTAGAAAAAATGTCAAACTAAAAAATTAAAGAATCTAACACATTTAATCACAAATAATATGTAATTAACCAATCATTAAATATAATAAAATAACACTTTTGATGGTTAATCACATGATCCGCTTAAACTCGGTCAATAATGACATCAACAACTAGTGGAGGCACAACTGCTCCTGCCTCCTTACCCTTCATTACTAGGGCATACACCTCCCCACTCTCTTTCACATCCTCTTAAATGGCAGGAACCACAAGAAAGGACCCGCCATTAGCCAGAAATGCTACAGGACAACCCTCTCTCACTGTGGGGGCAAGAATAACCTTGACACCATCTTTGAAAAATGTGTAAGGATTGTCTTCCCTTTATGGGCAACATCTACATCAAACTATCATGGCCTACCCAACAAAATATGGAAAGCATCTATATCCACAACATCATATACAATATCATCTTTATACTTTCCAATCAAAATACGGATGCAACATTATTTTGTTACCTTAGTTTTGCCCACGCTCTTGATCCATCCCATAGTATAAGGAGAAAGGAGATTCTCAGTCTGTAACTGCAGGTTATCAACAATTTCCTTGGACACTATATTCTCACTACTGTCGTCATCAATAATCAACTAACAGACATGCTGATTCATAATGCATGTTGTCCGAAAAATGTTGTGTTGCTAAATGTTTTGTTCAAGATTGAGAGTGTACATCAGCCGATGAACAACGAAAGAGATTCTCTCATCACCATAAGTCCACGCACTCTCATTTTCCTCTTCTACAATCTAATCCTTCATAGGGTAGTCTTCCTCCCGATCTCGCTCGCTCTAATTGGGACTCAACACTCGTGGCTAGGTGAATTGTTTCTATCAAATAGTATAGATTCTATAGGGAAACTATATCCTGAATGGCAAAGCGAAAACCACCAATAAACTGAGCAATTTTTTGAGATTCGGTCTCAATTAGATTTTTACGAGAAGAAAGCCTTCGAAACTCCTCCGTATATGCTTGAACAGATCAACTACCCTACTTACAATCCTGATACTACAAGTCTACAGGAATAATACCTACTCAAAAATAGGAGGTAAAGACCTTGTTCGCAACAATCTCTTCATCTTTGACCCGACGTGAGTTGGGAGTCTGCCTTCCCGGGTAAGTGTGAGCTGAACTTGTTCCCATCAAGCAAAAGCTCCACCCTTCAACTTGTAATCTTCTTCTCCTCCAAGACGTCCATGTAGTTGAAGAACCTCTTCACCTCAGCCAACCAATCAAGGAAATCTTCACTATGAAGGTGACCATTAAAGTTGAGAAAATTAACCTTCATATGAAAATCCTTAGCATCGCGACTAGGATCCTTATAATCTACAACATCTTGAACAAGAATTAATCTTCCTCATCGCTAGAATTTGCAATCGGTATCCTCTCGTAGGTCCACCATGAATATTATGTCGTGCATGATAGGTAAGATTATGATCTCAATTGGGTTGAACATGAACCGTATCGCTATTTTGTACCTTTTTTTTATCAAGACCCTAATTTAGGCTCATCATCAACTGAGCAACCAACTCCTGCAGTGCTTACATAGATTATGGAGCTATTGAAACTACTTCTGTTGTTATTGCTTGGACTCCAAGAATTTGGCACTAGAAAGAATTCCTTCTACATGAGCACCATCATTAGAAAGATTAGCCATCACACCCTAGATCACATAAAGTAGGAACAAGGGCGAGAGCAGGAGCAAGAATGGGAGTGCAAAAGCAAAAGCAAAAAAATTAAAAACTATCACACTATATACATACATACATGTTTATATATATATAAACTATTAAAATATATTTTAAAGAGTTAATTTTTATATACAAATATATAATAAGTTATTTCAATTTTATTAACTATTTATCTGACTTTTGAATCCTACATTAAAAAAATTATAGTGAATGATCAAAGAAAAAGCTTCAAGGCATTGTTCAAGTGAGGAAACAATCTCACACCAGTATGAAATGGGAAATGGGTAGATCAACATGCCTATAAAAGGTCATTGACTCATAATTGGTCAGTGAAATTGGCTTGGTGCTTTAGCTGGAAAAGTTGAGTACAACTGGGAGGCACATTTATTAATAGCCGCGAGCTGAGTTGGAAGTCTGGGCTTGGGAGAGTGGCCTGAAGTTCAAAGTTTTACTTCAAATAGGATTTTTAGTAGTTAATTGAAATTGGCGAATTTACTTATGTGAGTTCACAAATTTATTTAAATAAGAGCGTGAATTTATTTTGAGTTCGCGAGTACGATGACACGGATTATGTGACTTAGATCGTATCAGGTAAGACAAGACTCTGATAACAATTAACATAACAGAACATAGAACATTTTGCAAGTGTTGTAATGCGAATTATGTGACTTAGATCACATTACATTAGACAAGACTCTGATACCAATTAATGTAACGACACAAAGAATGCTACAATTTTTTATGTATTGAACTAAAAGGAACGCTTTGAATTAACAGAGGAAATAGAGAAAAAAATTCTAAAATATAATATTATTCAATGATTAACTCGTAGTACAAAAAAAAATATAAATATGAACAACTAAAATATTTATCGTTCCCAAAATCAAAGTAAAATTCCTAAAATTGCAAAAAATATCAAAAATAAAAATGTTATTTTCCTAATTAACATAAAAGAACCGACGACGCTGAATTTGAAATCTCGTATGATTTATTATTAATTTTTTCTAAAACAATAAAAACAAGATTTTAAAAGTTTAAACGATAAAATTCGATCCAAAACTAAAAGAACTCATGACAAAGCGACAAGTCTTAAATATTAGCCCAATCCGAATCAAATACCACTAGTCTCACTAAATTCTAAGTCTGACCCATTATACCTTTATTATCACTTTTTATCATTTCGTTGTACTTTTTTTTTTTTTTTTTTGATAAAAGTCGGTAACAATTTTATTAAATTTAAACTGGGGACTCACTAAGGATGAGAGGGCCAATGAAATATGGCATACCTCTCTCCATGGGACAAAATCAGTACATTGACAAGCATAATGAGCCAAAGCATCAGCCACTCCATTAGCAGATCTCCTTACCCAAGAGGAAGAGAATTCCATTTAAGTGTACCGCTGAAGATTGTATCAGTTCTATGAGATGACCAACTTCTGAAAGATTAGGTTCTTTCAGCCTACACTACAGCTTTAGCATCACCTTCTAGGATAATACTTGATCCCAACTGTAAACCCAGATCCAACGCATAGCAGGCAGCCAAAGTCTCCACACTTTCAACACTCAAAGGCCTTCTAACTAATCTGCTCAGACCAGCGAGGAATCTTCCCCTCCAGTCTCTGATCACCACTCCTATCCCCACAGCTTTAATCGAGCTAAATGTAGCCCCATCAAAGTTAATTTTGACAGTACCCATTGGAGGAGTTAACCAGCGAGAGAACTCACCCGACGTTGATGGAATATCTGTTTTGTTACTTCGGTCCTGTTTCAAATATTCTGCTTCCACCTATTCTACATCAAAGCTACGTACAGCTGGTGAGCATTTTAGGATCCCCATCCAGGGTAACACAGGTCAGTTTTGCTGAGAATTCACTCAGTGCACAACTTGATTATCAAAAACAAAAATCTTAGGGACTCATTGGTGGAGCTTTTGATTGGTACCTTTTCTTCCTTCCCTTTCTGTCCTTTTTTTGTTTTCCTATTTCATTTGCCTCATTATTGAGCCGATAACCCATTGACTTGATCACTTTGTCGAGTTGATATTCAGACCAAGTTTAATAACTATGATTTGAGGTACTACAGTTTCCCCTGGAACCAAATTGGCAAAACAAGACATGGCCACCCTTGGTTTAATTAAAGTTATACTACGAGGTTAATCAAATACAAAGCGGAATAGAAAAAAAACATCAGCTCAGGTAAAAAGGGGTCCCTTTAACACTGGAATCATTGAAACTTAAGGATTCTGCATTTGGCTAAATGGCTATTTGTACATGAGAACACCCCTCACCTCTCTCTCTCTCTCTCTCTCTCTCACTCTTCAACTAGGGGTTGGTAGAAAAGTTTAAATGCCTCCATGACCTCCAGATACCACATTGCTTCTCGATCAGGAAATGGAGAAAGATCAACAATTTTGTGAACCTGAAACTCAAAGCCAAAACAGTAGCCTTGACATCCTATCACAACTATTATATCAGTATTTATGTGACAGTTCTTTATTTTCGATTTGAAGATAACAACAATGATATTTCTCTCTGGAACATCATAATATTGCATTCACAAAATCACAATACATGCAATGCTTGGGCGAGTGTGCATTGCATTGAAGGAGAGGATGAGTTTCAGGGGACGTTAAAATCAGAAATTTACATTTTTTCTTAAAAGGCAGGGGAATACCAAATTAAAAATACAGTTGAAATAAGGTTTTCACACATTTCATTCTGTCATAAAGCACCTAGTTCAATAATATAATGCAAACTGTTGCAAACACAAAATAGAATTCACTTAGGGAAGCATGCAAAGTTACGGTTACCTTTCTGAAAACTTTGGCATTGTAAATGATATTCATAAGCTCTCAAAAAATATTGCAGCCCTCCCTGACAACAAGAAAGACCCTTTCCTTCTGCTCATCAAGCTGATGACATCCTCTTATGAATTCTATATATCCTATGCTCTACCTTCTCAGTTGAGAAGATCAATAACAGCATAATAAAAGAAGGGTCAAGATCGTAGAAAAAGTACCACCAGGATATTTATGTATCTTGCGTGATCCTATTATTGCCACCTTAAGAACATAGCCATGAATGTCCACTGTTTATGAAATTGTTTGGTTCACAAAAAACAAATGTTCTTATCACCATGGTCAAAGGCACTATTTCCAATATCCACATGTTGTGATATGAAGCTTCGCTCTAACGTAGTTATTGTCACTAGAAGTTTTTAGTTAGAATGCCAATGCCATTCAAACGCTACAAGGAAAACATTGTCAATAAAACAAAGACAGGATGCCAATGCATTCAAGCTCTACATGGAAAACATTGTCAATGTAATAAAGACAGGGAACTGTATTGTCAGATAGATGTACAGACCTAAGAATTTCGATAATCATATTGTAATGACATTGAGTCTGAGCAAATTTTTGTGACAAGGTCCTACAAGCAAATTTTCTATTAAATCCAATGTATCAAAACAGAGTATGTCAGTCGGAGCATTTGTCTAGACATTTCTTGATGGCAACAGTAGATGAGGCCCACATTCGTCGTTCATTATGTCGTGGAATTCGGTTCTATATTGGTAAGCAAGGGAAAATTAAAGAAAGGCTCAGAACAATGTAAAGCGATTGTCAAACATTTGGGCACTCAATTACCTCAAGCACTTTATGTGAATGCCAGAAGTGCTAAAAAAAAACATCTTCATATCGATAGGTTCATTTTACTGATCCCTCGTAATTTCCAAACTAGACAGTTCCAAAATTTGTAAGGACTAACAAATTAATGAGGCTCATTAGACCCCTTTTTCCTCTATTACTTTTAAAATGAAACACCATATTATTCAAAAGCAATACATGCAATCATATAAACAAATAGTTCATCTATCAACAATTGTTGATCAAAAGACATTTCCAACCATGTTTTTAATACTAAAAAACAGAACTTAAATCTGAAAATAATTTCTACATAGCTATATTTCTATCCTTTTCATGAGAAAGGTTAACTGAAAATTTAACCATTCAATTTTCACAACAACTAAATCAATCCTTCCATATGCAGCAAGGTGTGTGGGTCAACTCAATCATATTAAAAACACAATTCACCCGAGGATTTTTCACGGTTTGATAAAACCTCCACAAGAAATCCAGCTATATTGCTTACCAATTAACAAGATGCCCTTTATAAATTTTAGAATCCAAATTCAATTACAATAGAACCCAGAAACCATAATTTCTAAGCAGTAAGTTTACCCAATTTAACCATGAAATTGTAGCAAAATAAAACCAACACACCATGTGTGTGCGCGCGCGCGCGCATTAGGCATAGAAATGGGACTTGGGTCTCACCTTAATCAAGGGTAGGTCATCTGAACGGACAAAGTACCCTCCAACAACCATCACATACATTCCTACATGTATTTTGACAGGTACAAAGAAAGAGTGATTTTCTAGAGAGAGAAAGCTACGCCAAAATATGGGTATTTGGGAGGGACAAGTAACACTGACCAGTCTTCCATTCCCGATTACCAAATTCTCGGGAGAGAGAGAGTTCGATAATGCCGGTGCCGTCGTCGAGGAGAAAACGGCCGTCGCCGTTGGAGGACGGTGCCGAGACCACAATGCCCTGCATTTGGGGTCAGTAGTTTAGGGATTAAAATTACACTGAGAGAGAGAGACAGAGAAGACCTGTAACCAGGCGCGTTGGAAGAGGATGCCGGCGAGAGTCATGGCGGACTGAGATTGTGTTTCGCGGGCGCTCTTTAGCTGTACGCATAGCAGCTTCAGTGCCGCTAGACTATAGTCCATCTCTTTCTGTGTCTCTCTCACTCTCAACTTTTTTAACCTATTCTTTCTCTCTCAAATGGTAAAGTCTTAACAGTACTAAAAAAAATGGGAACCGTCGATAGGGTAGTTGATGGCCGAATTACCCACGGGTTTTGCTATTCGGTCCGAAAAAGATAGGTATAAAATTTAATAGATTTGTTAATTCATTTATATGAACAGCTCAATATTTTTCAATGGAGGGTTTGGATCTATCCCAAATCCATTATTGGACCCAAAACTCAACCCAATAACCCGTCCACAAAAAGCCAGTTAAAACTCAAGTCAAGAATCCGTTCGCTCGCCCACAAGCCAATACGTAGGCCCACAGGCTCGTCCAGTAAGTGACGGGTTGAATTGCGAGTAGCCTAACTCTACCTGAAGTCTAGCTCAGCCCGCCTGATGACTCACCTGAGTAAGAACTTGGGTTTACCCTACCCAGGCCTAGCTTGAAAAAAATTTCACTGGTTGAACCTGACCTATGGACACCCCTAATTATCGATTACCATTTTTTTATGATAAAATTATAACTTTCAAATGAAAAGTTTCAATTGCTCAATGGAAGGTTATGATTGATCAAGAATTCTCGATGTCTATTTCAACCTTTTGTAATTGATCATGTTATTTAAAGTTGTAACTTCCACCTTAAAAAAAATTATAACTTAACATTAAAAAGTCATAATTTTCGGTACGGTACCGCTTGAGTCTCATTTGTTATGCAGAAAGCCAATTTCCATTCTCTCAATTTTATTTTTTTAATTCTAGAAGAATACTCATTTTATTTGTAGTATTTGGATCCTCTCGATTATTATTTTAAATAAATGTTATTTAAATTTAATTTATTGATCATATTTGCTAACCTAATATATCATAACTATTGATTTAGTAGTAGGTGTCAACCAATAGTAAGATTCACTTTCAATTTAATGGTAGAGACTGATTAAGTCCAAATAGTATTTCTTTTATTTTTAACCAATTTTTATTCAATTTTAATGAATTTATTTGATTCCATTGGGATTAATAAATCATAAAACCATAATAGAATTTTGGGAAAATTTCACTTTGCATCTCGAATGATTTAATATTTTTTATTTTGTACTTTCAAAGATTAAATTTTTCACATTGCATCTTTAATACATTAAAAATATTGCAATGTGGTCCTTTTGTCTATAAAAAATAACCCTATTGGCATTGATTGAATGAGTAACGAAAGTTAACAGAAAAGTCACATTGCAACATTTTAATATATTGAAAGTGCAATGCGAAAAATTTAATTTTTAAGTATTAAATTAAAAATACTTAAATCTTTCAAGATATAAAGTACAATTCATCCTAATATTTTTTTTAGAAATTTATCTATATATATATATATAGGAAAATAATAATAGTAACATGTTCAACAAAAATAGTAACATGGTCAAAATAATAGTAACATAAACAGTAACATACTCAACAAAACAGTAATATAATAAAAAAATAGTAATATGAAACATTCAAGTCCAAAAAATAATAATATTTGAAAAAAACATATAACATATAATCGGCATGATTGTGAATAGACGAGAAAACAGTAATATGCTCAACAAAAAAATTATAAAAAATGAACAAAATTGAGGCAAACATTTGGTGCAAAGAAAATGAATATTTGATAAAGATCTCGGAATATAATTTTCTCAAAACTTTTAACAAAGTTCAAAGTTGTCTACATAATCCACTAGTTTTACAAAGGGGGATTAATGATCCCACAATCTACTAGTTTTTCAAAGGGTCTTATTGTGCTAAGCCGCTGAATTCATCAAATCGAAATACACACATAGATAGATAATATGAAATCACAATTTAAACTTTGAGAAATAGAGAAAGAATGGACAAATGATTTTTTTTGAAATCTTAACTATATATGCGGAGGCAAGTGAAAAGAGTCTACTTGTGCTAATCTACAAACCAGTTCCTCGATGGATTCAACATCACTTGCAACCACAACGACGTCGCCTCTAGCTGGTCTGAGAGGCCGAAGAGGGGGAGATAGATAGAGAGAGAGAGATCACTTTGAATTTGAATTTTAAATTTATGATGGAAATTTTATTAGCATATTTTAATTGATGTTGAATTAAGAGATAATAATTTTCAAAATAAAAAATTAATTTAACCTCCTTTTAAGGAAAATTATTTTTGAAATTTAAAAAAATAATGAATTTAAATACTTATTAATAAATAAAAAATAAACTTATCACCAATAAATTTTTTTGACGAACTTAAGTCATTTTAAATCCATTCAAAAAGACACGGACTAAATTTTCACTACTTTTTTTATCTTGCATATAGGGGGTCAATAACGGACCGGCTACTACTGTGCCGGGTCGGATATGCTCAATTGACCTTAACAAGCCAAACAGAGGCCGGCCCTAGCGGGCTTCAAATGCATTATTGGTGATTTCTGTAGGGTTGTGCAACCTATGCATTGTCATTTATTGGATTGAATTGTGTTACTTGTACTAGCATAATCATATTTAAGCATATTGATTCATAAGAATATCAATTTTAAAGACTTAAATAAATCTTTTAATTTCTAAAAAATATCAGAATAATGAAATTAAAAGAGACAACTCTCTCTATTTTATTAGTCAATCCAAAAATTATTTTGCCCTATGAATTTATATAATAGCAAAAACTCTAAACCAATTAGGAAAGTAGAATCTTAATTACAATAAGAAATCGAATAATCCTATTTGAATTAAAAAAAATTCTAGAATTACCTAATTGAATAACATTGACCATGTTCAATTAAAATATCAAAATTTTTGTCATCTGTCCTGCACATGTATGCCAGATCAATGCAAACAACATGTGGAATTGGCTAGAGGGGAGAGAAAGTTTTCAACTAGATGAACTTGGGAGAAAATTACGGAGCATCCCCCCCTCCCCTCTCTCCTCTTTCTTGTCCAGTGCACAGGCCATTGTGGCACCAACAGAGTATAGCTAGGATGAGTGTTGTTTTGTGGCTTCCTATCAGAAATAAGCTCAGTACCAAGGATAGGTGTGCACACTATGTAGGCAGTCTATTGAATCTCACGCCCAACTCTTCCTTGCAAGCCCTTTCTCAGAAGCTATATGGCACCGATTGATGCTACTGTGTGACCATCAGGGACCTTAGCTCCATGGAATGACCTGGTTGAATGGGTGATCTCTAACTGGAAAGGAAAATCCTTAGGATAGGTATTCTCAAGCTATGCCTTGCTACAGTAGTTTATATCATGTGGAGGGAGAGAAACAACCGAATAAACAAACGAAACAAAGATGACATACATAATTGATCAATGAAATTTTTTACTTCCGAAAAAAAGACAAAGTTTATTAATAGCAACAAACACGTATAATAACGTTTGTGCATAACAATAGCACAGACACGGTTACACTGAAAAATGATGGGGGAAAAAAGCTAAGAGCCTCCAAGCTGACATACATAAGTATAGACACAGCTGTGTATATAGCTGAATCCTTTATTTTTTCGAAAGGTAAAAATATCCTTGAATTCTTACAACTACTCTATACAGTAGCAAATTTGCTCGAAAGTGGTCCAGTTGTCCCGGAATAGATGTATGAAAGCATCTATACTTTCATCCCAAATTAAAGATGACAGAAGAAACAAGCAGCCCTCGATTGGGGTATAAGATGGAATGAAAATGTAAGGGCATCCTCCTCCAAAATCTAGGTCATAAAATGGAAACCTTATCCAACTATCCACCTCCAAATTAGGGCACAGAACAGTAGCATCGGCATCAGCCGTGGTAATGAGATCTTCTTCTTCCACCTTGTAGCTTGTAAAGTCGATGAATGATTTGAAGTAGTTGTTGTTCACCTTCGCCACTGCGTCGTGGATGAGCTTCGCTGCATAGGGCAATGGCTTCTCCAAAAGGTTCATCACCTTGGCGCATGGGAATGCCCAGAGGACAAGGTTTCCAAAGTACTCATTGGGTACTCTAGGGTTCAACCGTGTGCGGCCATTGACTGCAATTTTTACGTGGGTGGTTTCGAACCCACTTAGGGCACGTACCTTTGTGATGGCTCTCCACAGATGAGCAACAAGACTCTCAAAAGTGCTATAGGGCTTGAAGAAGCTCTGGCCTTGAGCTAGGCGAGAAATTGTAAGGTAAAATGAACTTTGTGCACCACAATATCTTGATGTCGATCCATGAAATTATCATCAAGAGAATAAACATTATCAAGTTTCTTGTTCATAAACTCCACTCCTCTGTAATCAAACTCGAAACGAGGCGGGTTTCGACGGGAGAAGGTGGTCCGATCCTGCAAAGGGAAGGGACTAATATCGATTCCTTGGCAAGCTTGTCCCCAAGCAACCAAGAAACTGCTTGTGGACTGCCCATCAGCCACACGGTGGTGTTTCGTGAAGCCCAGCACCAATGAGCCACCAGAGAATCTTGTGAGCTGAACTTGGACCAACTCCACCACTCCCTTTAAGCTTGGGTGAAGGCTTAGTAAGGATTCTGAAGGTTTTAGTGGCATGGCTTGATCAAGAGTGCTATCAACCGATGCCTCAACAAGCCTCATGCCTTCATCATTGAGAAGAATGACAGGACGGCCATTGCCATCTTCACCAAACCTTCCAGCCTACTCTCTGTATACTGATAAGGCCTTTTGAAGCCCTAGCTCTAGGGTTACATTTGATGGGGTTGGGGGACGATAGGCATAGATCAGTGCTACATGGGTATCGAAAGCGACCTTATCGAAGACGCTTAGGGGAATGTGGATTGTGGTTGGGGGAAGAGAGCCTTGGTAAGAGGGTTTGGATTGTGGTTGGGGGAAGAAAGAGGGAAGTTTGCTTGAGCTTCATGAGTGCTTGACATGGGTTTTTAAACTGAGGATTGAGTTAAAAATAGCCACGTTAGTCTAGGGAAGAAAATTATTGTCTGCGATCCTACGTTACAACTCAATTATAAAATAGCAGAATTGGCAACCTCACATGGATGGGATCGACTACCACTGCAGCATTGAACATAATTATTTTATGGAATGAGTAATACAAAATAATTGTTTTAATACTGTGATTCAAGGATGTGTCAAGCACTAATGGGTCTTTGGTTTAATGGTAAGGTTCAAGTCCCCCTCTCGCTTCTCCTTCCCCTCTCCCCCAAAAAAAAAAGGATGTGTCAAGCGATATAAATGATTTTAATGAAAAAGTCCAATACTTGTTACAACTACATTGTTGAATCATCTCTTTTATTATTAGGGATGCCAAAATAGGAAACCATGAAAAATCTATAAATATTTAGTGGTCCTAAACTCTATTTTTATATTAATTTAAATATTTGTAGGGCCATTTTGTTGGACATGATTGTTCTGGCTTAAATTTTTGGTCTGAATCATAATATAGACCTATGAAATTGAAGCTTTTTGTGGACTTCGCCTGAAATAATTGTATCATTAGCTTTATAATTAGGTCGGTCTTGCACTAGAACTGTACTTACCATCACTGTCACCACCTTTGACACAAAAAAATATTCAATATAATAATAATTTTAGATCATGATTGACATACCACTTTTAAAATTGGTTGATACTATTCATTAATGATAATGTAGTATCAATGGTACATTGAATATTCACATTTAAAGTTGTCATTTCATTTAGCTTACATGGTTCAGGATACATTTTCATCCGTTTAACATCTGGGTGCTTTTATTCGTTTCCTTTCTTCTTTGCAAGCATAGAATTTTCTGCTCATTGTAACTCATGCACATATCAAAACAATTGGTTTAAAAATAAAAATTGGGCATATAGCATTACGCTGAGGATAAAGGAAGGTGGTAAGGTGTGGACGAGGAGGTCCCTTGGCATTACGCAGAGGTCCCTTGGCATACAATGTGGTTTGCATTAGAAAGGTGGAAGAGGGGGTGAATAAAACTACATATTCAATGTGACATAATTTTGGACTTAAACATATATCACTACAAGAATAAAAGGGCTTTTACGGCGGTAAAGTGCTGTCATAAAATATTTATTTGCCGTCACAAATACTTTTTGTGGCGGTATTGCCTCGCCATAATAAGTGTGGTCTCAAAAGATTTTTATGGCAGCAACGATCTGTCTTAAATAATATTTACGACAGTAAGATCCCGTCGTAAATAATATCAATGTTTTATACCATTTGCATATCCATCACATGAATTTGAAAGCATACATCTGTATAACTTTTTTTGAACTTGAATCATTGACCTCAAGAAAATAAAACTTTCACAAGATAAAGAGTATCATTGAACCAAAGATCCATTAGTATTCATACTACCAAATTCAATATATAAATAAATACAAAAATAAATATGACCAACATTTCCAAAAACATAGTAATATTTTCATATATAAAAAAAACAATCTCATGAGTTAAACAAAATGTAAAATATGCATTTTTACAAAACATAACGATCCATGAGTACAAGAAATTAATTCAAAAAGTTGAACATCCTTCCCAAACCATTTAATCTCCAATGACATATGAAAAAAAAAACATTAAATTATTGTTACTATGCTGAAATGATATTTATATACATATATACAATAAATAACTAAAAGAAGTTAGAATATACATCATAGAATGTCACGAAATATTTAAAAGTTTGTCTAATTATGTAAATGGTATATAAACGAGTTATATCATATACATTTCTTCTAATTGGTTTCACCAATACTTGATTTGTTTATAATTGTATCTTATCAGATCCATTCATTTACTAAATATGTGGTTTAACAAAGACTCAAACCCACTAATTTTATGTCGTGTTAACCGGTCGTGTCATATTTTGACACTCCTAGTTTTGACATAAAAAATTGACTTCGTAGAATTGAATTTTTTTTTCTTTGAACTATAAATTGTCTTTTGATATAAAACTTCGTAATTTTATAAAATATTACTGGTAACATGAAAAATAGTTGTGGATAAAACATTTTTTTTTAGAGTTTTTCTTCTTTAAACTATAAACTATTTTTTAATCTAAAATAACGTTTTAATGTTTTATGAAATATTATATACAACGGGAAAAATAAATGTCATAAATATAAAAAAAATTGAGTTTATGAAATATTATTTGCGTTACGAAAAACAGTTGTCTCAGATACAAAAATTTCTTTTGAGTTTATGACACTATTTATTGCAGGAAAAATAGTTACCACAAATATTAACAAAATATTAATACAAACACACTTTTTGTAACGGCAAACACAGTCGTCACAAAAAATTGTCTCAAACACGTCTTTTGTGACAGCAAATACAGCCGCCGTAAAAAATTTGTCACAAAAGACCCTTATTCTTGTAGTGCATACTGTGTTATAGAAAACATAATACAATATGTATCTAATTTCCTGACTTAATATGTTCTTATCATTGAATTGGTATTGGATCCCAACAAGTATCAGAGGACCACTGCCCGTCCAATGATCACTAATAATGAGGTCAGAAAAATTAGGTTCAAATAGCATTACTATTCTATAGAATAGCAATTTTGCTTGAAATTGGGCAGGTTATCCTCGAATAGAGGTATGAAAGCATCAATGCTTCCATCCCCTATGAAGGATGGCAGAATAAACACCATGCCCTCTATAGGAAAATAAGATGGCATGAAAATGTATGGACATCCTCCTCCAAAATCTAGGTCACAGAATGGAAAGTTTAGCCAGCTATCCACCTCCAAATTAGGGCACAAAACCGACTTATTCATGTCAGCTGTGGCAATGAGGTCTTCATCTTCCACCTTGTTGCTTACAAAGTCGATAAATGACTTGAAGTAATTTTTATCCACCTTCACCACTGCATCGTGAATGAGCTTGGCCGCATAGGGCAATGGCTCGCGCAATAGGTCCTTCACCTTGGCGCGTGGGAATGCCCAGAGCACAAGGTTCCCAAAGTACTCGTTGGGTAGATTCAACCTAGAACGACCATTGACTGAAATTCTCACTTGAGTGGTTTCGAGCCCGCTTAGGGCACGTGCCTTTGTGATGACTCTCCAAAGATGAGCAAGAAGGCTCTCAAAAGTGCTATAGGGCTTGTTAGAACCATTCATTGAAGAAGCTTTTGCTTTTATATTGGCGAGAAACTGTAAGGTGAAATGACCTTTGTGCACCACAATTTCTCGATCTTGATCCATAAAATTAGTGACAAGAGGATAAAGCTTATCCACTTTCTTGTTCATAAACTCCACTCCAGTATGATCAAATTCGAAATGAGGCGGGTTTTGAGGGGAGAAGATGGCTCGATCATGCAATGGGAGTGGAGTAATTTCGAGTCCTTGGCAAGCTTGTCCCCATGCAACCAAGAAATTGCTTGTGGAATGGCCATCAGCCACAAGGTGGTGTGCCGTGAAGCCCACCACCAATGCTCCACAAGTAAACCTTGTGAGCTGAACTTGCACCAACTCCAACACTCCCTTTAATCTAGGGTGAAGACTTAGTAAAGACTCTGAAGGCTTCAATGGCATGGCTTGATTAAGATTGCTATCAACCGATGCCTCCACAAACCTCACACCTTCATCATTCAGGAGAATGACAGGGTCACCATTGTCATCTTGACCCAACCTTCCAGCCCACTCTCTGTAAACTGATAACGCCTTTTGAAGCCCCAGCTCTAGGGTTGTATATGGCGGGGTTGGAGGACGATAGGCATAGATTACAGCTATATGGGTATTGTAAGTGACTTTGTCGAAGACACCAAGGGGAATGTAGTTTGTCGTTGGGGGAGGAGAGTCTTCGTCATAAGAGGGTTTAATGATTCTTGAGCTCTCTTCTCTCACCCTCATGGTTAGGGTTGCTGTTTTTGGCTATGTGTGGAAAACAAAGAAAGGTTTGGTTGAGTTTCATGGGAGCTTGGCATGGGTTTTTAATACTTATAAAAGGTGACGTCTAAAAAAAGTGATGGATGCTCAAAACTTAAGCTATGTATATTAGATTCTAAAGCACGGGTGTTCGTTGTGGTCAGTGGGAAATTTTTTAACTGATGGTTTGACTTATAAGAAAGTAATTAAATGATATGAAATGGTAATGAAAGGACTTGTTCGACCTAGATTGGTAGTGTGTGGTTATAGAGTGTTTCAAAAGTATTATGTGAGGATGTGCAAACTTATTTTTCTTTCGAGGATTTAGTCTCTTTTACTCAAACCAACTGAGATCAAGATTCAAGACAGAATGTAAATCTGTTAATGATTAATTTTAGAGTAATGTTATTTTGATTTAAAAATTTAAACTCATTTATTAACTTAATTTATAATAATTTTTAGATTGACTACGGACTCCATCAAACATTAAAATTTACTCTTTATCCAATAATTTCAATGAAATCACATCAATCGGACACGTCGGTTCACCCACCTAACAGATAATGAGATTCTTGATCGATGTGATTGAATTTAAATACATCTTTCTCTTTATTCACATAAGTAGAACTTTTAATTAAGATATTATCGCCTCCCCCATTGGAGCAGGCACAAGTAATCATTCATACGTTTATTTTATTAACTAGTTTTCCATCAAGAAATTAGAATCTTTTTTGATTGGGGTGCAACTCAGGCAGGTTGGAAAGTCAATCCTAACCTAATCCTAAGTATATAATTTTTAACCCTAATCCTACCTCGAGTTAATGGACTCAACCCGAACACTGCGCGAGTTTAATTCTGGCGAGCTCATGTTGAATTCGAATTAATGATTTCGGGCTATTTTAAGAATTGAATTTGGGTTGAGCCCAAAATAGACTTATTGTTCTAAATCTGATACATATATTACATAATATTCATTTAAATTAACAATCAACAACTTCAATCAAATTTTAACATAAAAACTATAATATTAAGAACTCAATATTCGAGATAATGTAACTACAACCATACAAAACACAAATAAACACAACCAAAATTCTTATTGAGTGAGAGAGGCGCACCTTAAAGACTTCAGAACAGATTAACTCTAGAATTAAAAATGTATTTTTTTGGTTATGAATATTCGGGCTTAACCCGATTTAATATTCGAGGTCAACCCGAGGCCCCATTCAAATTGAATTCAAATTGGGGTTTTGACTTAAACCCAACACAAGTATTAAAAATTATAATCCAAGCCCTAATTTTTCAAGTTGGGCTCAGTTGAAAATCGGGTTAGTCCGCCCAAATTGCACCGCTACTTATGGCCCAATCTCTAAATCGGCTTAGGTAGGCTGAGAGAGCTCCTTCACTTGTGTTGGGTAATTGGGCCCAATATGAAATTTAGCAAATATAGGTAAGGTAATGTTATCGAATTATGTCGATTCATATATATAATTAAGAGATTTAATTGGGCAGGGACGTTACCACCGAAAATAGTTGGGCCTGGCTTTGTGATACAATGGGCTCAAACATATCCGCCCCAAACACCCAGCCCGACCACGGCCCACCTGGTGACTCTCTTGTATATTGGCAATAATGCTTCATTCGACACACGAACATATATAAAGCCAAAATTAACGGACTAAAGTAGAGTAATTATTGAAAAAGACATGTCTTATTAGCAGATGGTTCATCGGATTTTATCCATAAAATACTAGTTAAAAAGCGTGCGAATCATATTCATGTTTAACACTAAATTAACCCATTTAATATTCGCGTTAACAAATCGAATCATTCTTAGATTCTTATTGAAAAATAATCAATTCTAAATCTCTACTCGTGATCAACATTCGGAGTTTTTCAATAACATTGTTTATATGGTACACATTGTTTTTGGGGGATTTCTTAAACCCGAATTTCATGTTACAATAACACCATAATGACCAATTTTTTCATCACATTTAAAATGCTAATTGATGTTATAATAAAATAATTATGTTTAAATGATGAGTTCAAAATATTATTTATTTTAACAAGTAACGTTAAAAGAAAAGAGTTGGTGATTCCTATGATTTTACATGCTTTAATTTGTTAAAATTGAGGATTTTACTATACTAAAATTGATCCATAATCACAAATTTTGGTTTGTTCATTTATAATCATTAATTGTAAAATATTTAAAAAAACATAAATTAAAAAAATTACATGAATCACATTCTTATGGCATGGAAAAAATTATTTACTAATACCATAATTAAATCCTAAATTTAATGGACACATCAAATGGCCCCCACGTTATTGACCACCAATCAGCTTCTATATGACTTGGTCTCTGTCCTCATCGGAAACCCTTCCAAAACCAAACCTTTTCAAATCCGGCGCCTGTCAGTGTTGACCTTCTTCAATCAGAGATTTCATTTTCACTGAAAGGATGTGATTCAGTAGTCCAATTACCGTCTTGAAATACTATTTTCACATGCTATCAACGTTGGAATTTTTGTTGTGTGGGATCCATTTATGCATATTTTAATTAATTATTATTTTTTATTTGATAAAAAATAAGTCATTTATATTAAGGGAAGATAAATTGAACCAAACTAAGTTGTGATGTCTTAAGTTAATAAATTGAGTTATAATAATATTTTTAAATATATAATGCTTGCAATCATTAGTTAAACTATGTGCTTTGAGTCAATTATTTATATATATCTTGTGCGATTCAAAATCTCGAAATTTTAACCTACCGGATCTTTCCTTCCAACATTCCCCTTTTAAATGCAAAATGGTTAATATTTAAATGAGCATACAATTCGTGAAAATTGAACACAAAACCTCTTGTAAAATGTACGAGTACGTAATATTATGAGAGAAAATTACTATGCACCATTATGCATCTAGTAAAACCATACCAATGATACACTTACCAAAAATTTGAATTAATGTCTTTGGATTAAATGATGTGACAGAGTTTTTCCAATAAATACGGAAAACTCAATAATATTTTGATTGGTATAGAAGTTTGACACATCATTAGGGTCGTATTGTTTTAATAAAAAAAATTAATAAAAATTTTGATAAAATACTACAAATAAGAAAAGTGACCTAAAAGCCTTTTCCAAATAATACTTTTCCCGCGGTATGGCGACCCTTTATCTAGGTCATTGTAGCACTTGTGTTGGCCTAATGTTTTTTCTGATAATACTAAAAAAATAAGAATAATATTATTTTGATCTTATTTGTTAATTTAATATATTAAAATTATTGAATTAATAACGAGTCTGAATTAAAAATAAGATAAAAAATAATAATTATATTCATAAATTAGGTGCGAGGAACATTTCTTAAAAAACAAGTGTAATGTCTTTCTCCGTATCAATTTTGATGAAACTTAATATAATGATATATGTTCATACGACCAATCGTCTTCCACCCCAACTCATTTTGTATTAGTCAAGAGTCAAGACTTCAAGGCGGCCCGACACAATGTCCTCCTGGACCTGGGGTCTCACTTTCTCTCTTTTTCGCTGAATAAATCCCATAGAAAGAAAACCCCTTCGACGAAGTAAAGTGATAAACCTATATATATATAATATTTTAAAATGTTATTTAGAATAGTCAAAAAAAAAATATTATTTTTAAAAAGACTGAAAATAAATAAATCAGTGATTTAATCAAATCTTATATAATATTTGATAAATTTTAATATATCAATATTCAATTTGATTCTCACTTGATCTAAAACATTATATAGAATTTAATAAGTATTTTATTAAATTGAATTGAATGGCTATATTATTTATATAATTAAGTTATTCAAATCAAATCAAATTGTCATATTCAAATTTCAATTGTTTATTTATTATATATTCAAACATCTATATAATAAAACACATAACAACTTGAATTTTTATCTCCCGCATATTTTCCCCCTAAAAACATCATATCACTTATTTCTATCACGTGTTTAATCATTTATATATTTTTTTCTTAAAAATATCACATCACTTATTTTCTATTATATTTTTAATTATTTAATATTTGATTAATTTATAATTAATATAATTTTTATTTCAAACATTATTCATATATAACAATATACACATGTTTAAAAAATTTAATACAGTGGAATCAATTTTTTGGGCGTTCAAATTTTATATTTTATCGTGTTTTTAGGCAAAAGTTATGACTAGTAAAATTATATATCATAAAGCTCGACACTCAAGAACACCCATCATAGGTGCAGAAGTCTAGTGATAATTCAGTCACCTAATAAACCTCTCAGGAGGGGTAAGTCAGAAGTTTGAATATCTCACGAAACATAGCTCCTTGGGGTCACCACTCATAAATTTACTCTTTTGTATTAAGAGAGGGCTTTACACTGGATCCAACTTTAGTTCAATACGTGAATGATATAATATTGTGGTGATTTATTACGACAAATGAGATACCAAAAATATATATGTATGTATGTATATATAATTATAAAAACATTATTAATTGGCTATTTGTATATTATGTTTTGATCCAAAATTTTAATTTAAACGAGGTTATCTCACATCGAATAGCTTTTGAGTGTGTTTGTGAATTATATGACAGCTATGATATTTTTACTTTTTAGTAGAAATGTTGTAGTTTGTCTCCGATCAATAAAAACATATGTGTGTTCAGGGTGGGTCTCATGTGGACTCAGTTGCATCCCTCTTAGACCTGTCTATATACGGGGAGGCCTTTGGGCCTGGGTGGTGATGTGCTGGAGTTATCTCACATCAGAGAGCCTTTAGATGTCTGTGTGGGTTATATGACAAGTATGGCATTTTTACTTTTTAAATAGAAAGGTTGGTGTTTGTCTCTGATTAAAAAAAAAAGTAATTTAAATTCAAATTTTTTCGGGAAAAAAAATATAATTCCCAGTGTAGCCCCCTCCTCTGCCTGTTAGCTTACCATCCAAG